TCCTTGGACAGGGCGACGATGGCCTTGATGTCTTCGTCAGTCAGCTCGGCCACGGCGACGCCCTCGTCTCTGCGGGTGATGTGGTTGGCCAGGATCACCGTGGCAAACACCGGGAAGCCGTTGGCCATGTTCAGAGAGCCGTCGTAGTTGTTGTGGTAGATGCCCGTCAGTTCCTGAGAGGGGGGGGGGAATCATCAGTATGTTTTAGACACAAACTAACTTTTTGCAACTATTTTACTTTTGAGAAATATTTCTGTTTGTAACTCCACTCACGATCTCGTCTCCGGGCTTGCAGCTGTCCACCAGGTCAGCCAGCAGGATGGAGTCTTTGGAGCGCGGGAGGCGGCCGGCTGCCACCTTACCGGGACTTTCCTGGATGGTGATTCGCTGGTAGTTCTGGTACACAGTCTGCAGGAGGGACACGATTGGTTAATTCACAAAGAGACATCAGTTGATACACGACAAGAGGAATAACACACACTATTGTAAACATTTAATTAGGATAACGAGTGTGTGAATGTTCTTTATTAGATCACTCAACACGGCGGGGCCTTCTCACCTCCTCCATGTTGATCTCGAAGGGGCCCTGGGACTGACACTCGGGACAGGAGCCCGGCTTCACCTCCTGGTTCTGGGACTGGAAGAAGGGTCCCAGCACGAAGTTACACTTGTTACAGTTGTACTTGACCATGCCGAGCTGGGGGAGGACGCCGGTGCAGCTGCTCACCACGCCGCTGGTCCGGATCAGCTGGTTCAGGTGGAGCTGCCTGAAGCGGAGAGAACAAACAACTCTCAGACTCGTCGCCTCATTTTATTCATCTTTAGTTAAAAGTCCACAAACAAACTTCCATCGGGTGGATTCTGGCGGCCCCTGTGGACAAAGGCGGTAGGAACACTATCTTGTTTCGTTGATTTTAAGGGGAATCTGATCTTGTGTCGGGCAGTAACAATAACGATATATAATGGTGATGGTCTTGTTGGTTTGTTTATGTCATAAAGAGGCATCAGTATTGAAACTGTTTCACAAGTGGTTAAAAACGTCCTTGAGTTTTATTGTTTGTGGACATTGGACTTCAGGAAACATGCGTTTTTTTACTGTTCCATCTGCTCATATGGGTCCAGATGTCTGCGCTGCTCTCAGCAGAATGTGATTCATGCAGTGTTTGTGTATAAAGTACGGAGGAAGTCAATTTTATTTATATAAACCATGAATTACACATTCGCCTCAGAGGACAGTCTGCAGAACAGAAAAACACTGCAGGAGAAAGAGAAACCTTGTGCTGCAGTTGTTCATATTTTATTTATATTATATTATATTATATTATATTATATATGATTCTGACTTCTACTAGCACCAACATCAACTTCCAAGTCCAGCCGAGGAAATATCTAATATCTACAACTCTGTACTTACAGACGTGCCTGCAACCTGAGGAAACATGGACACCAATCAGCCAACTTAGTGCTTTATTGTTATAAAATAATACTCTGAAATAATACTATACTAATAAAACTATTGTGATGTTGCAGCCGTCCCAATTGTGAGTAAAACATTACCTGAGTGAGCGGATCTCCTCCACCAGCGGCAGGTTGCAGATGCGGACGTGGATCTCGTGGGCGATGCGGTCGTATTTCGGGTACATGGCCAACACCACTTCTTTAGCTGCTTCATCAAACACCTGACGGAAAACAAAACAGGTTTAATTCTGTCGCTTTCATTTTACAAACGAACAAAAAGGGAGTAAACGTGACTCCTGACAGATCCCTCCAGGTGGTCACGGTCCGGTTGTTTAAACATCTGAGCCGCAGCAGAAAGGTTTGTGTAACTTAATGATCCAGACAGAACAGAACCACACTCACCTTCAACATCTCCGTCGGAGCCTCTGGCAGGAAGTAGGCCAGAACGTGCTCTCTGGCGGCGAGGTCTTCGTAGTTTACCACCAGACTCTCCTTGTTCTCTGGAACGACAGACGAGGACGCAAGTTCATTCATCTGAAACCAGAAATCAGCGTGTGTGTGTCATAAAACACGAGTGTGAACGCGGAGCTACCTTTGCACATGTCGCTGATCTTCTCCTTGAAGACGTTGTGTCCGTTCTCGTCGACGTGGGTCCGCAGGAAGTTCTTGAAGCGGTTGTAGATCTCCAGCCTGGGAGCCGCCATGGAGACCCACTCCCTGACCGTGTGACCCTGCAGACGGGGAAGAAACGGTCAGACCTCCTCTACCACCGCTGAAACACACTGACAGGAGAGGCTGCAGGTACCTTCATGTCCTCCAGGTTCTCGATGCTCTCGATCATTTCCTCTTCCTCTCCGTCCGCCACGCCCTCTGCTGCCCGCTCGGCCAATCGCCTCCGCCGAGCCGCCGGGCGCTCGTCGTCCTCGTCTTCGCTGTCTGTGTAACGGCGAAAAAAAAAGTCCATCACACCTCCGCCAAACATCTGACTCTCATAATTTATGGTTACGTTTCACATCCAAACCCATCAGTCCACTGGCTCCTCACCGTAGAGCAGTCCTCTCCTCAGACGCCCGCTGACGCCCTGCTCCCTGTCCCTCCTCCTCATCGCCTCCTCGGCGGCGGCCCGGGCTCCCGGCGACAGCTCCGACAGATCCTCGTCGTCCAGGTCCAAACCCTCCGCCTCGTACTGATCCAGCGCCGGGATGGCACGGTAATCCCTGAGAGAAGACTCGTCGTCAAGCCCCAACACGTGTTTTAAACACAAAGTAAATCTGGTGTTTAAGAAAAGCTCCTCACCTCTCCATCCCGTCTCCGATCAGCTCCTCGCCGTCTCCGTCCTCCTCCTCCTCTCCGGGCAGGTGGCCGTCTCCCAGCAGCCCCTCCGACTCGTCCTCGAAGGGAGGCAGATCTCTTCCGGGGCTGGAGGTGAGGTCTCCTCTCCGGGAGGCTCGGCTGGGGCTGGTGGCCATGTGGTACGACTCGGAGGAATCCTGCCGACAACAAACACATTACAGCGTTCAGTTTGTTTCTTTAAAGGTTAAACGTGCGGTTTTAGGTATCTGTTCAGCTTATATATCCTCTTTTTAATGATTGTCGTCTCTTTAATAATCTGATTTTAATGTGCAGCGGCTACGACACAACTCCCCGTTTAGGATTATTAAGAAGATAATTGGATTTAAAGTATACGTTTATTGATGAACAGCTCCTGAAATACAAAATAATTTCTACAGTAAAAGTGTTAGAACTAATGTACTTATGTTGACAGCTGATGTTTCTGTACATTAACTGAAAGCTTTGTGTTTTAAATGTATATTAACATCCATGTTACTGTTGTTCTCCAAGTGAAGTCTGGAGGTATTTCTATTTGATTTGATAATTATATTACTAATAAACAAATACAACGCGGTGTATTTTTACTTTGGGGCATATATTCAAACATTAATTATAGTATACACACAAAATATAATAACAATCAATTAATAAAACCTTCCTCAGCAAAAATAAAACCAGTCTTATTGTTTTTAATCTGTTTTCTTTGTTCATTCTTTGTACTTTAACATCCTACAGTAAAGGAGATTAATGAGAACAATGTGCGATAATAACCAGAAACTATACTTCTTTATAAAACACACTGTGGTTTAAAGTTTTACGGATGTTTTGTGCTGATATTCTTTACAGTTAATGTCTGATATTTAATTTAAAGTCTGTTAATCCACAAACATCTAAAGCTCAACAGCCACATGGCACACAGCTTTTAAACAGCAAGAGAACAAACAACAACAGATTATTGTTTACGTTAGCAGCAGTAAACAACCACTGATTATAACATATATTCATAATTTATCGCAGATTTTACTTTAAAAAATGATTTTAATTGAGTCTCCTGATCCCTCTGTCACTGTTGTTATCGGATTCAACTGAACTTATAAACATTATTAACCTTATTAAACTCAAACTACAAACATAGATCCGTTTATTGAAACTTATTCCTGCTTCAGTATAAATATTAAAGTCTTTAAGGAGATATTCGGTCTGTTTTTAGCCGTTTTCACTCACCGCCATTGTTCCGTGTCCGTCTGTCTCTGCCTCTTAAAGAAACTTCTTCTTCCGGCCGGGAGCCGCTTTTCGCGCGAAACGACCACGTGACACTCAAAGCCCGCGAAAAATAATGAATATTCACATCTGCCCGCTGACGTGGCGCCTCCTCATTGGTGGGTGTGTTTTAAAGGGGCGGTGCTTAAACATAACAGTGCGTTTGGTTTGGCCTCGCGAGGCTCGTTCAGCCGGGGATAGCAAAGGTCCACGAGCTGAAGCGGTGCGGCCCGCAACAGAAAACAAACGCACCCTTCCTCTGATTGGTGGAGGAGGTGAGCAGTTTGTGACGTGATAATTTTCCCGGGAAAATTTGGACCGCGTTCTACGTTAAATGTGACGTAACAAAAAACTGATTCTATAAGTTATTATTATGAGAAAGTTTCTCAAATATTAACTTATTAACTAATAAGAAACGTAATATTTTGACTTAGTTTCTCAATATAATAACAAACATTATTATATGAGTAATTAATGAGAAACGTTTCTCATATGTGAGATACTGGATTAATGAGACTAATTAATTGAGAAAAGTGTCTATTGAGAAAGTGGTTTGTGATTATTTTGAAGTTACTAAGCAAGAATTTAGAGGAAAGTTGGTGGCGTTATATATAATGAGTTTTTATCCATCACGATTGGCACAATTTGCGATGGGCCATATAGGTTCAGAGATCAGTCTTCCAGCTGCGCGTTCCATCTATAACCGTCCTACTTATTAAAGTAAACCGGTCGGGCACGTCCCAAAACACCTGATTGCTCCTGTTTTTCAAAAAATAAAAATAACCAATAAAGTAACATTTCAAAAACAACATATGCACTTTTGTATCTGCATAAAACAAAATAATAATAATACTTAATAAATGATAAACACTACTCATTAAATAAATAAATTCCACATGGATATGACCAGAAAAGGTATTTCCAACGCCACACAATCACAAAACCAGACGTTTGAAACCAACACCTCAACTTTAATAACCCTTAATTGTGACATGTTCACTCATTCTTCAGATAATAACATCGGCCCCTTTCAAACCCAGCAGTTTAATATCTTTAACAAAACAAAAACACATTCATTTTTTCATACAGTATCAAAACAAGAGCTCCCTCCTTTTTTTCTTAAAATAAAAAACAAAATTAAATCTCTTTGCAAAGTTTTTTTTAGTGCAGAAAATAAATATCACAAATTACTCCTCACTCATTGGTATCAAATCGGCCGCCGTCGACCTCCTGCTCGAAACCGAGGAGTAAAAACATGGATCACAACTCGTCTGTGTTTGTGTCTCACAGGTTATTTCTTTATATTGGACAGTTTGTTTTTCTTTTCTTCGTCACTGATCTTAATGTCACTTCACATGAAAACCAATAATCTTACATTAATTTGCGTTTTTTGGTCGTATTTCATGTTGAAATTCCTGCAGAAGGTTTTTTGTTGTTGTTTGTGAAATTTGCTCATCATTACTTTCACATTGAGAAACCAATTAATAAACAAAAACATTCATCTGTAGACTTCATATTATCATATAAAGTAAAACATAAAATGTTCAACAACACTTCTGTTCACTTCTGAGGCTGTTTAAGGCTTATTACTTATTCTCTAGGTGGGAATTAAATCCTTATAAAATATTTATCAGTAGCATTTTTAAGTATGAAATTATTCATTAGTCTTAATTTTCTGGTTTCTAGATTAAATGAAAAAGGTAAACAAATGGAAACATGTCCTAATTCCACACTACACACTCATTTAAATCAGTAGTGAGTGACTAAATTAAGTATAATAAAGAAGTCAATGTGCAGAGTGCTGTTGATGGACACACAATACAACGCAGAAACGAAATGGAGGAGCTTAGGAGGAAATCAAAAGAAATATTCAACCTGTTAAAGTTTAACTGGCAGTGAGACGTTGCACTTATTGTATAACGTTAGTACAAATATTAAAATATTAGGACTTTTTGGACACTGACAGCTAAAACAATAAACTATGATGTTAGTATGTGAGCACATACTGTTTAAAGTTAGTGTAGTATGGAGTCAGGACACGTTGCGAGTACAATGAGGTGTTGATGCTGCGTTCGTGTCACATTGGATATGAGTTTCCTACTAAAATACTGTTCATGTCGTCTTTTAAGTCCTAAATTTGAAGAATATTTTGGGGAAAAAAGGTTATTCAGTTTCTGGCAGAGTTAGATGAGAAGACTGATACCGCTGTTAGGAAGACATCTGAGTGTGATACCTTCTCATCTAACTGTCAGCAAGAAAGCAAATAAACAGATTTTCCAGCTAAAATGTTCAACTTTTACATTATTGAATCTGAACTCAAACACTTTCTGACAGGCACATGATGCATTTTAAAAAGGTTAAATCTAACTTTAATAATAATTATTAATAATTATGTTAATCTGCATGCAGGAATAGATCCAAATATGAAACTTAAGTCGTTATCGATTCATTTTTGGTGGCACATTATGAGCCCAAACTTTACACGTGGGATTGAAATCTTAACCTCCTGTTTCTGCTCTGCACAGATCCTGAACTTAAGCACTTTAGTTGTTTTAACACATTCACTGTTGAAGCTTTCACTAGTCCAGAGTTATGTACCAGGATGAGGTTAGTGTTGGTTTGACTGGTTTTCACTTGAGATGAGCTGCAACACTGATAATCTGAAATCTGTTCGTTAAAGAGCCGACTGTGTAAAAACAGGTCAGTAAGAAAGTGGTGAGAAAAATTGACATTTTTTTTGACTTCCATATAAACCCTTTAAAAATAGTTTTCCTCCTCTTCCCGCCACTATAGATACCAGTTTCAACACAAATGTAATCAGGTAGACATGAAACAACGGCTGGATATCAGGAATTATTAACTCAGTGGGAGCTTTATATTGTAGTGTTGGTGGGTTAAAGCTGGCAAGGTAACGTTTATAAAAAAATCACTTTTTGTCCTGGACAGTTTCCACATCAGACAGATAATCTGGCTCTTTATGGTATCTGCATGACTCTAAAAGTTACCTACTGCAGCTTTAAGAGGTCACACTGGTGAACTTTGACCTGCGCAGCCTCAACCAATGGCAAAGAGGTGTGTGAGGTGTGTGAGGTTAACTCCACTGACCACATTCAGTATGACAAGACACAAATTTCAGCTCCACAGGCGCCCGCATTCGCACACGTGTGACTGTAAGTTGAAAAGTAAACAAGGCTTCAAAATAAAAGCCCCCACCCACAGAGTGACGATTCCTTCCAGAAAAAAAAGCTGCAAGAGAGTTGGTGCTTCAAAATAAAAAGCTGTCCAGGACGGAGCTGCAGGATAAACAGAGTGTCAGAATAAAATTCATCTAGGAGTGGCTCTGACAAAAAAAAGGCTTCAAAATAAAATCCACCCTCATCAGCGCAGGTTCCAAAATAAGAGCGCTCCAGAGAAAAAAAAAAAGAGAAAAAAAGAGGATAAACATGTTTAGTTATTGTCCGTTTGTTTCACATGGCAGAAGCCAGATTGATAGATTGTACATCCCGTCTCTGCATGTGTCCGTCATGTTGTATGTTGTGACTTGCAGTTTGCATATAACGTCATACCAGACACACTTCCTGTACGTGTGCTAATGTTTTCGTCCGAGGACCAGAGCGGCTTTCAAAGTCTTTTATCCTCCTTAGTTTGTGTTTGCTCCCTGTGAGGATAAAGTGAGACCTTGAGCAGTTTCTCCTTTCCTGGTAGAGACTGCCCAGCCAGGCGGTGTGTGTATGAGTGTGTGTGTGTGGTGTGTGTGTGTGTGAGAGTGTGTGAGTGTGTGTGTGAGTGTGCACGCTTTATTTAAGGACTAGTGTAGCCTCGGAGCCATCTTTCCTCTTCAGATACAGTCCATAGCTGAGATGGTGTTCCCTCCTCAAGAAGGCGTAGAAATAATCCGACACCAGCAGAATCTGAGGGGAAATAAACATTAGGACACTGATTCATTCGAGGAGTTTGAGTCATTTCTGCTCTTTAATAATTCATTTAAATAATGGTGAGAGATATTTTGACTTGTCATGTCAGTAGAAGCGCAGGTGTTACCATTAACATTAAGTTCTATTCAAGTGCAGTAAGCCAGCACGTATAACACATTCATTTTAGTATCTAAAACGTTTCCTACTGCGTCAAAATGTCAGACTGCCGTCCAGACCATCCTACCTGTGCCACGTTGAACAGCAGCGTTATGGCGTAGTAGAAGTTGGAGTTGGCGCTGCCGGCGTAGATCCAGAGGTGCCAGAGAACAGGGAAGAGAGCCGAACAGGCCAACAGGACGCAGGACACCAAGAAGATGTTCCTCAAGACTGAACAGGACAGAAGAGAAGATGTCACAGATAATAATACATCTTATTTAAAATAAAACATTTGCTTTAGAGAGCTACAATGTGAAACATCTCAACAGCTGTTGGATATTTGAAGAAACATTCACGTCCCATGAGGATGAATTTAAAAGCCTCCACTGATACTCTGTTTCATCTACGTCCACCAGCAGCTGCTCACGACAGCAGGCCTCCACAGTGATGATCAATGCAGATCAGCTGCTGCCATGTATATATTTATTTTTACCATGTATACTGAGCATCTCTGGCACAAAACTAAATCTTTCTGGATGATTTAAGTTCCATCTTTTCCAACATTTTCAGGTTGTAGCTTGAGTGTGCTCTGTACCTGAACCAAAAGCCTTTATCATCACATCTAAATTAATACTATAAATGAAACTGTGAACATCCTTTATACCCACAGTAATAATAACTTGTTTTGATTATGATTATTTAATGTTTGCTCATTTCCAGATTCAAGGGTTAACAGAGGACACTCTCAAACAAATATGACGACGGGATCGTTTCATTTCAAATATTAAAAGGTTTAAACGAGTCATTCGGTTCATGTCCAACATCTTCTGTGTTATTCACTCACATCTGTGCAGGTGACTCCAGACAGGGAGGAAGGCCATGTAGAGGGCGATGTCTCCCACAGTGGGGTAAGACTTAAAGATGGAGATCACAGCTAACTGCATGAAGATCAGAAACACTGGATGCTCCCTGTGACGCAGACACAGACAGGATTATTCAAGAGAATGAAGGTTAAAGATGAAAAGAAAAAGACAGACAGCGTGCGGAGGACTTACTTGAGTTTGATGGACAGAGGGATGGTGTAGAAGAAGACGTTGATCTGGAAAACGCAGAGGAAAAAGAGGCGGAAGTGTTCGAACATCTCGGCGAAGAAATACCAGAAGAGGCCGATGTTCGGGGTCAGGTCTGGTACTGAGAGACTGGAGAGAGGGAGAGGGAAATCTCATTTAATCAGCCAGTTTTAAACATGAACACATACTGAGAGGGACATCCAGCGCTCTCTGGTGGACAAACTGTGGTACTGCTGATGGTGACACTTGCTAAATTACCTCAAACATGTCGGAGGCGTTATTGTACTGCAGTTTCCTGTTGCTAACCAAAATATAGACTGATAATAATATTAATTATGATGATTAATGGTTTCATTTGTGTAGCATTACAGATGTATTATACTTTAGATAGGGGACCTTTCACAGTTTTTGTGCATTTCTTAGCTAACATAGTTTCCCCTTCACGCCTTGAAAAGGAGGGTGAAGCGAGGAAGTTGCCATCTGCAATTACATCGCTAGATTTAATTTATTTCAATGGAAATCTCCAGATTGCCACTATAACCATGTCTTGGCATTTAATGGGTCTGTAAGCTTCCCGGTTCAAATGTCATCCTCTCGTCAGGAGTGCCTGCAGCATCACACCCACATCAGCTCAACCTCTCACCCTTTTCACAGTGGTATTATTAGTTTGAACGTAACCTTACTGTATGTGTATTTCTTTGGATTACGATATCCCTAAATGCCAACGATGTGGATCTGTAAATATGGTCCCACTTTTAAAAAGATGCCCGGTGGAGTTTTCTTGTAAACGAACAAAAAGCTGTGTTTACATTCAGCTTTACTCCTGAATCAAACAAAGCTCTGCTCGTCGGATCATCACTCACATGAAGCCGTAGACAGACGGCACGTAGTCCCACGAGCCGAGCAGGAAAAAGGAGAGACCGACGATGACGAACAGGCTGCCCAGGTACATGAAGGCATACTGCGCAATGAACCACCAGAAGCTGACACGCCGGAAGTTCACCGGGATGAACTGACGCTGGGGGAGGACACAAAAAGGTATGAATCATATTCAAATATTCTTAAAGCAAAGTGAGAAGGGGTTGCAAGAATAAATAGGTGATAAAAGGAGAGAAAAGGACAGCAGTTGAGACAAAGGGACAGAACAAGCTGTAAAACATACCTGCATCAGATACAGCAGTGCTGGAGCGCACAGAGTCAGAGGGTAGATGGACTGATATGTGGCCAAGGACAGAAATATGGCACTCAGCAAGACATTTCCTGCAACACAAACATAAATTATCACCTCAGAAGAGTTTCAACAAACTGCCTGAAGATACATTTTAATATTTCAGAGACAGTCAAAGTGCTGCTTTAAGAAAACAGTCCACTCAGGTAGAAATGGCAGTGAGAGAGTTGTTCTTTACCTTTTATTGTAGTAAGGATGAAGAGGGAGATGACGGCGTTGTTCAGACCACAGGTTGACTTGGCGACGCAGGACAGGATGGTGAACGGGTTCAACAGGTAACTGTGAGAGAAGAAGAGTCGATGTGATGATAGAATTAGTTTCCTGATATCATAAAGACTCTAAGATGAGGATAATTAGCTCTGGTGTTTCCTTCATAACCTTTAAAGCCTTTTTTTGCTTCATATTTATATTTTATAATAAACACAAGAGGGCTTATAAAAACTAGAGTCTACAGTCATGTAGGGCTGCAACTAACGATTACTTTCATTATCGATCAGTCTCTCATTTAGTCGTTTGGTCCATAAAATGTCAGAAAATGTAGAAAAATGTTGATCGGTGTTTCCCAAAGCTCAAGGTGACGTCCTCAAATGTCTTGTTTGGTCCACAACCCAAAGATCTTCAGTTCACTGGCACAGAGGACAAATGAAACCAGACAATACTCACATCTGAAATCTCTAAAATCAGAGAATTTGAACTTTTTTCTTGAAAGAAAAGACTTGTGCAGTCACAACGTCTACAAGCTTACTGACACCAAGGTTGTTGACTTTCCTGACGCCTGAGATCTGTCTCTGGCCCATCCTGCCTGATCCCCCATCAGCAAGCTACGCTCAGGGTTCAGCGAGTCGTCTGACATGTATCTCGCAGAATCACAGCCAGAACCAGGATCACGTCCTCTGACATAATCTGACATAATTGGGTGTTTGCTGTGTGGAAGCGTGCTGGGCTTTAACGCAGTCTGAGGGCTGCGTGTGGATACTTACAACATGGCGACTTTCAGAGGGATGTAGTACATTTCTTTGGGGCTTCTGATGAGCTCCAGGCAGTCGAGGGGGTAGCGGTCTGCCTCCAAGGCGTATTTCTGCTTTCTGAACTGAAACAGCATCGACACATACGTCACTACACAGGAAAATACAACACATCGATCCTACAATACAAAATAACACGGAATATCAAAGTCTTATCTGTAGAAACTCTATAATTTATTAATCACAACTCTGCCATGTAGCAGAGAAACATAAAACATAGTTGTAACATATTTCTTGTTGGATATACGATCCATATTAGTATCATGTTACAGCTTTAATGTGTTTAACATGTTGTGATTCCACTTTAAATACTTTTATTTGATATTTTCTGTATTTTTAAGGACACTTTACTGTTTTCTTACCACTTGTTTGTTGTAGTCCCTCACTGCCATGTAGAGAGCCACAGCAGTGATCACATCTGCCAACTACAGAGACAGGAACACAGAAAATGAGCAGCTGAGCCTCTCACATATAAAACACACCTACATACTTTCTTTTTTAAATCACTAGAGGCAGAAATGTGTTATCATGGGGAGAGCAGTTTAAATTAAAGTGCTGTGCAGACAGCTGAGCTTTCCCATCATGGCTCACATTACAGAAAATCCTCCCTCATATTCAGAAGAGAACATCTGTGCAAAGTTATTTTACTAAGAAACATAAAATAAGCTGCAAATATTCAGAGCAAAGTGTTGCTTCTTGATCGGCTTATAAATATTTAAAACACTCACCATGAATGTTATCTCTGCGTAGTCCACCAGAAAGTGAAAGAGGTAAATGATGAGAGGAGTCTGAAGGGAAAAGAGACAACAGAGCACACACACAATAAAACATATTTATCTCAACAGTAGAGAGAGAGAGAGTGTCAGATTGATTTTACTCTATCTATCTATCT